CTTTCACAAGCAAGAGAATTGCAGAAAGAGATGACAGGCCTCCAATGATTAAAACTCAGAAACAAACATTCTGATTAGCAAAAGTACTTATTTGCTTGGATAGCCATTGTTCCCATTTAAAGGTGCTAAAATGAAAAGAAAAAGTTGTTATGTTATTTAAAGAAGAAATAACCCTATACAGTGAAGGAATTTATACAGATTGTATGTGGGGGGGGAAGACTTTAATAAGGTATCTAAACTCTCTCATTTCTTACTTTGGGAACTACTGATCTATTTGCTGATCACTCTCCAAATCTTTGTCTCTAGAACAGCTCTTACTGTAAAATTCTAGGACCGGATGACAAACTTCCCATTGGATATTGGATGTCTCTCAAACACCACTCCTGCAAACTGGGACAGATCGTGTCTCCCCAGCCCTTCCCTAATCTTGTTCCCCTTCTGGTGTTTTGCACTTGGGTGAAAGGTACCAAGCCGGAAACATGCATGCCTTCCTTGATCTGTGATTCCGCAGGTTGCTTATATCGGATTGAGAATTCCGGCTATCTGTAGCTTCTACACATCTCCAGGGTACTATATCAGCCAGAGCCCAGTAAGGAAAACCGTACAACTTATTTTTTTATTTTTCATTTTTACTTGTATTTGTTTGTTTGTTTATTTATTTATTTGGGGAGAGAGAGAGCGAGCCAGGGTGAGTTTGGGGGAGGGGCAGAGGAGAGGGAGGGAGAGAATCTTAAGCAGGCTCCAAGTCCAGCACAGAGCCAGAGGCGGGGCTTGATCTCACAACCCTGAGATCATGACCTGAGCTGAAATCAGGGCTTGGATGCTTAACCAACTGAGCCATCCAGGCACCCCAACCACACTAGTTATTTTAATTGAAAGAATTTAATATAAGGCATCAGTTAAGTGGGTATTGCAGGGCTGAAAAGGCAAAGGGGGAGCATTGAGGTGACAGAACTACAGAAGCAGCTACCACCTCTTGGAATGGGGGAAAGAGGACCAGAGGTTGGGGTTACCAGAATGTAGGAGCTGCAGGGAAGGACCCTGAAATTCTTGGGACCCAGGCATTGAGGAGGGACCACGGTCTGCTTGCTGCTATAGGAGCTCAGGGGAGGAGGCGCACCTAGTTGGGCTGGAGGAGGGAGGCAGTTGGAACTGGTACATCTGAAGGGCATGACTCGGCTGGGGTCCAGGCAGCGCAGCCAGACCTATCGCTGTTTCCAGGATGAAGGGCTATATTGCTGGGCTTAGGCTGATGGGATCAGCAAACACACAGGAAGGAGCAGCTTTCTTTCTGCCTTCTTAGTCTTGCAGTCTTCCTTGAGTGCTCCCTATGGGGGAAATCTAACAGGAGGCCGGTGGGGAAAAGAGAAATGTAATTTACAGAGAGCTAATGTGAGCATCACAGAACAACATATAAGGACGTGTATTTGGTGCCAGGAGAAAATTGTTGTCAAATGACAAGAATAAAACAATTTAGTTTGATATCCTTTGGATTGGGGGAGTACAATGCTACACAAGCACTGGGACACTCTTCTCAAGGGGTGTTGGGCAGAGGCAAGTTTTATAGAGCATTAGAAGCAGCAATATGGAAACGGGGCACCCCTGGCTAGCAGGTGCATCGGGGAATAAGGCTAATGTCTTTGGTTTGAGCTAATCGGCCAGAGTTGTGTATCTCACTTTATTTAGAACTACGATAGTAGCACAGATTCTTGGCAGTTGGGGACTGGCTGGCTGGAAATACTGCCTTTCTGGTCAAATGGAGCATTTATAGGAACATGAAAGTTCTCTCAGTTTTGGTTTGCTGATGTGGCGTTCTGGGCAAGTGTGGCTCCATCTTGGACGTAGAAGTTTATTTCAACACAGCCTAACAGTGTATTTTCAACAAAAAGCCCATTATTTCTACTTCCTACCTCTTCTCTCTGTCCCCACTGCCGCTTTCCTGCCTTACATACTATTACCTCCCCGCTGACCTCATGCAATAGCCTCTTAACTGGCCTTGCTGTTTTTTCTCCTGCCTGCCTCAAATCCAATTTCCACACAGTGGTCAGAGTGATGGCTTTATTATTTTATTTTATTTTATTGAAGATTTTATTTATTTATTTATTTAAGAGGGAGAGAGAGAGAGAGAGAGCAAGAGCACTAGAGCGGGGGGGGGGTGCAGAGGGAGTAGCAGACTCCCCGCTGAGCAGGGAGCCTGATGCGGGGCTCGATCCCAGGACCCTGGGATCATGACCTGAGCTGAAGGCAGATGCTCAACCTACTGAACCACCCAGGCATCCATTTAATTTTCAGTTAAACGGCATAATTGTTTAGTAGAAGCATTCCCCATGTGGTATTTCAGAAATTTATCTAAAATTCAAATTTAACTAAACATCTGTATTTTTATTTGCTAAATCTGGCAGTCCTACCTAGGGGCTAAATCATCGCTGTTCCAGACTCACTGGTCTGGAGTGTTTTTACCAATTGCAATGAGTCAATTGCTTTTTTATTGTTGTTTTTCAGAGTCAACCCTACATTGAAACAGTTCCTCTTCCATAATTACAATGAGTATTGTGTCTTTAGAATCAGACTGTAGGGGAGGAAAAAGAATCTTTCCTCTACCCTTCTAGGTTCTGTGGCTGAGAACCCCTGTCACAAAAGACAGATTAAGAGAAAAACAAACCGAAGTTTAATAATGTGTGTACCTCATGTGTACACCCAGGAGACGCAGGAAAACTGAGTAAAATCCCTTGAAATGACCCAAACCAGCACCTTAAATATAATCTCCAGCTGGAAAGAACCGAAGAAGTTGGGGGAGGGTCAGTTATGGGACCACTATCAGGAAAAGCACAGTAAACAGCGTCAATTGTCCTGCAGATTTAAGTCATTGCCTTCTCCATTAATTGAAAAATTAATCTCCAATGGAGAGGTAGAGTTAGCCTCCTCTTCCTGAGGGAGACACCTTTATAAATGGGAAATTTCTTTTATATATGTAAATGTCCTTTACAAAAAAGTAACTTCTACTCTGTTTTCAGAGATTCTCTTATGTGTTTGAAGGTTTTTAAAAACAACCACATCAAAACAATCCTTATGTCAAAGAGACATATTTTATCGTGGTGTATTTTGCTACCCTTCAAGATGAAGTCAAGAGAGAGATGCAGAATCCAATTAGGTGAGTTTTGGTCCTGACAGGAAGTTGAAGAATCCTCTCGAGGTCAGGGAGAAAGGAGCTTGGAGAAGGAAGCTAGCAGCAACCTTCGCAGAGATGTAGGGAGAGTGAAGAGTTCTGGCCACACCAATTAGTGAAAAGAGGTTACAAAAGAAACTGAAAGGGGTTATAGAAGACTTGCGTAAGAGCGTGAAGTACCCAGTGGAAAAAACATTAATGTTTATGTCAAAGGGAAAGACACTTAAATGTCTTAAGTGTTTCAAGAAATGCAAAATCAAACCAAGCCAAAAGGAAAGTCAGCTGCAACCTAGTGGTTATTGCAGACTTCCATCTTCAACAACAGAAGAATTAGTTAATTCTTAAACTCCCGGGAGGTTGGTCTCAAAGCCAAGTCCAAGGTAAAGTATGTAATTTTTGTTATAAAACTTATAAAAGTAGCTCATTATGTCCCTCAGTGGGGTAGGAAGAAGTTCCCTGAATATATGCAGGCTCAGGTCTTGGATCCTGGCCCCTTATTCTTGGCCACTGAAGAACCTTCAGTGACTGGAAGAATCACATCAATTTGTTTGGGATGGCTGAAAGTGGTTCTTTCATGGGTATGTGTGTGGATTTTCTAATTCTGGAAAACTTCCACACTTTGCTATGATTGTGTTCAGAGACAATGTGTGAATGGTTGGTATTATATTTATACATAAAATGTTTAGAATGTTGAAGAGATTTGGCATAAAACCATGTTTGACCAAGTGACCTGGTGATTCCTTTTAAAATATGTAATGGGGCAATTGATTTCAGACTTACAAGGTTAAAATTGAATATTATAAAATAATTTGGCTGAATTTATAAGCACTATTAGAATTTTTAAGACAACTTAATATTTATTATGTTAATAAGTTTATTAGATTTACGAGACCATTTAGCTGGGAAAGTATTACTTGTTAGGTTCAGAATTGAAGTACTTATTAAAGAAAATTAAATATAGTGATACTATAAGTGTAATTTAAACTTTTAAAGATAATTTAATTAACTAGGATATAAGTGGGACTGATTCTTCAAAGATTTTCGTTTTTTTCAATTTGAATTGCTCAAGCTTTATTCAAAATGCCCTTGAAAGTGAACACATTTATGTATATAAAATAATATAGCTTAAAAACTTCATCTATTATTTAATTTATTGCTTTAATTTGTTTATATTAATCAGGACCATCAAGGAAAAACAAATAGCTTTGTCCAGGCTTACAGATAGCAAATAATCCATAGTGAGAGTTTTGAAGATTATTTTCTCTTTTTTTTTGTTTTTTTTTTGAGCAGGGTGGGGAGACAGAGGGAGAGGATCTTGAGCAAACTCCATGCTGAGTGTGGAGCCTGACGGTGGGCTCGATCTCAGGATCCTGAGATCATGCCCTGAGTCATAATCAAGAGTCGGATACTTAACCGACTGAGCTGCTCAGGCGCCCCTTGAGGATTATCTTTCCTGGAAGTCAAGCCCGTGGCAGATATCCGTGGTTCTAACAAGTGAGTTTGCTCATCCCTAGCCTTTCTCAATAGCCACTGAAAACCAGATTTCAATTAGGAAATGTCTTATATACAATGCCCTATTTTGAACCCTGAGTCCTTCCTTCGAGGCTGAGAACTTCCCTTTCCCTTTGACTTTGCCCCCTTCTCTCCACATGTCACTATTTGCAGAGCAAATGTGACTCAGAAACCGGTTCCTCAGGGTTGTAACATTAGATGATGCACACTTGGGTCATTATGCTCTAAGCCAATGTCTGTGTTTCATTGGGCTGGGTTCTCTAGAAGGTATGTTGCTGCCTGTGTTATTGGAAAAACATTCCACAGGTGTGGGAAGAAAGGACGTGCCACCGGCCTCAGCTTCTAGGGACTTTTCTCTTGGCTGGGAAGGATTTTATGTTCATCAGAAATACTTCCAGAAGATTTAAGAAGCGGTAAGGGTGACGCAAATCTGTGAAGGACCAGCATGGGGATCCTATACTCTGAGGTATGTGACCTTTCTGGAAGTAAGATTCCAAAGGTGTTGAAAATTGTTCTTGCTTCCTTTCCTTGTTTAGCTTTCTGTGAGAGTGTTAAGCCAAAACAAAGTGCTGTGTATTAATCTTTTTGATACATTTAATATTTTAAGGCAAATCATTTTGCAATTCTAAAACTCTACCTACATCTAAGTAGGGAGCAATACGATAAATATGTCACAATGTCCAGATATTTGTGGGGGTAATTTGGATCTTGCAGGAACTTATGAAAATGGAATTAATGGAGTCATGCTTTCTGATGTCAAACTTCCAGAGGAAAAGTGAAAATTGTACCCAACTGGATTTTCTAAACATACAAAAGTAGACTGGCTCCTTTATGGAACCACATGGACAGAGCGACACCTTTCAGCTTGGCATTTGAAAAGAAATTCACTATCAGCGATTATAAATAGAGATCATCCCTATATAGAAGAGGGATAAATGCCGACTATATTTTTGATGCTTTGAGTTTTTTCTTTTCACATCTGATAAATACAAAAAATGTTTTCCCCTGTATTGAAAGTAACCTATTAGAATCAAATATATTTGTCATACTGTTTCAAAGGAGTACAAGTAATGTGTACACAAGAGTATAAGAGGTGTAATGATGTTATTCACAATTTATCCCTTTCCTCTCTAACACAACCGGTTATTCTGCATTTCACTACGAATGCTCCACAGAACCTCCTTGGGTGGTTCTTCTCATATTAAAGGCAGTTTCTCTGCATTATTTCTAATGCCTGTCCTGTGCGTGTGTGTGTGCGTGTGTGTCTTTCTCTAGTCAGTGTACTACTCTTTGATTAGTTTAAAATTGCAGGCATGTCTTGCTCAGTGACTCTAGTTTGGTGAAGAGATCCTATATATGAAACCGACAATACATGCAATATTCTAAAATGCTACTACTCTGGTGTTGCTCAAACTTTAGATTGCTGGAGTTAGAGGAACTAAAAGACAGGAACTTGTTTAATGCAATGTCGAGAGCCCCCATCCCAGATAGTCCATTTCACTCAGTCTGTGGTAGGGTTGGCAAACTTAGCTTTTAGGGGAGCATCTCAGGTGATTCTCCCATAGGTGATCAGTTTACCCCCCATGGGAGAGAAACACTGCTCTAAGGTGAGGGCTTTTCAAATTTTAATGTGAGTACAGATCACCTACGCTCTTGTTCAACTGCAGATTTTTGTTCTGTAGGTCTGGGTGGGGCTGAAGATTATGCATTTCCATTCCTTGATGCCTATGTTGTTGGTCCACGGACCACACTTTGAATAGCCAGGTTGCAGTCTAGGTCCTGAGAATAATTACGTTAAAAAAAAAAAAAGTCTCTGCCTGCGCAGTGCAATTGTTTGTTGATTGGGTGTTGATTTGGCAAGTAGAGTTGAGTCAAGGTGAGGTAAGATCTGTTGAATTGTTTTTAAGTATTGTTGGGGAAAAGAAAATTTTCCTCTACTCTCCAAAATTTCTTCTGGCTTGTCTAAGAACTACATTGACCTGAGACAGATTAACAGGAGAAAATCAAATTTAGTTTTGTATTACATAGGGGAACCCTATGTATATAAGCGTTCAAAGACAGAAAGGTAATATGCCATCCTGAGCTAAGACATGGGATAGGAGTCCAGGATTCAATGGAGAGGAGGCCAATCCACAGGCAAAGAGAAGAGCAGATGTTTGACAATGAGATGTGCACCCTGCCCTACGAAGGGTCACGCAGATAAAATTTATCTCTGGTAAAAACTCTCATTCTGGGAGAGACCCCTAATTTAACTTCTTCTCCGTAGTTCAGGGAAGGGAAAAATTTCTCCTGAGACTGCTAGATCTTGATTGCCTCTAGTCCAAAAGAGTTCACATGCCAAAGTGGCAAATTTTTTGGGAGACTTACTCTGAACCCCTTCAGCATCAATGAGAATATCCCCAGAAGTGGAATCAATGTTTCACTTTTCAAATATATGGAGGACAAAGTGACTTGGAATTTACTATGATATTTAAAGACAACTCCAACAACCACACACATGCATACACACGCATGCAAATCCACATGCATACACACGCCCTAGCATACCTAGAAGCTCACAGGTAATTTATTCAAAGCTCATAATTAATATGGAACCAAAGGTAGCCTAAGGTAGTGTTGAAATACATGCTTTGGCCAGACCACTCCGTATCACAAGTGGAAGTGGATTCTAGGCCCTTCCATCTGATTGTGCATACTTGTCAACTAACTCTAGTGTTAACCGCGTGAGACACAGGAGCCCCTGGGAAGTCCGCCATTTCCAGAAGGAAGATAGTTGACCACCATTTTGGCAAATAGTTTCTCAACTTGCAGAACTCCCCCTTGATATCAACTTGTTTTTTTTTTTCTTAAGGTAAAAGTAGCCACCACTGAGGATAGTAAAGACGTTAGTAAGACTAGCTTGGGTGGCAGGTTTGTATCAGGAATAAGTGTTGAATCTTCCCCATTGTCCGCTGCGTCAAGGATGCTGTTTGCGGAATGCCTCTGTTTATTTTGCTGTCTCGTGACTCCCCAGCAGCTGATCCGGGGAGATGCTCAGCTGGCATGAGCGCGCTCTCCCTGAGCCCTGCTGCAGGGACTGGGGCTTGTGTGCTGGATTTAGACACCTGGCATTTTCAGTTGACAGAGTGATGATGCCCAGGGCAGTGGATTCTAGAGCTGCACCAATTCTGCCCAAGTTCTTGAAGATACTCAGTATCCCCAGATACCACCTTCTTGATATGTAGACTAACACTGTTATTCCATGCCCAGGACTTGAATAATCTGGCTTGAGCAATGGATGTAAGTGCTGAAGAGAAGTGGGCCCTTTTAGATCAGAAGAAAGCTTAGCTGCAACTGTAGTTGAGTGTGGGAGTTACTTGTGAATGGGAAAAAAAAAAAAAAAAGCTTAGTCTTACTCTCTGGTGTCCTGATGCAGAAGGTCTGGGATGGACCTTCTGTGAGGTTCTCCCATCTCTAATTTTAAAGAAGTTGAGACGCTCTGGAGTAATTCCTCAAATACATAAACATAACCTACTCATCTGTGATATACGTACAAGGCTCTCTTCTGCCCTCTGCCAATGGCTCTGCGTTGCCCAGGTATAAAGAATGGGAACCACTAAATTAAGAACAGGGCAAGAGCCAGCCAGACCTGCCCCATTCCTTGGGCCTAGACTGCCTCACAGTACCTTTTAAAAAAATTTTAATTCCAATATAGTTAACATACATTGTTATATTAGCTTCCGGTATACAATATAGTGATTCAACAATTCTCTACATTATTCAGTGCTCATCATGATAAGTGTACTCTTCATCAGGCATCTATTTTTTTAAAAAATGTTTAGTAGGGCGCCTGGGTGGCTCAGTCGTTAAGCGTCTGCCTTCGGCTTAGGTCATGATCCCAGGGCCCTGGGATCGAGCCCCGCATCGGGCTCCCTGCTCAGCGGGAAGCCTGCTTCTCCCTCTCCCACTCCCCCTGCTTGTGTTCCTGCTCTCACTGTCTCTCTCTGTCAAATAAATAAATAAAATCTTTTAAAAAAATAAAAAATGTTTAGTAAAGTTCAACTTCCCACTTTGAGTGTGGGAAGCTCTTCTACATTGGGGATGTAGGCTTGTCATTTTTTCCTTAGAAAAATTCTTTGTTCCTCTACTCCTCTTGGGTTGATTGGCTGGGGCCCTGCAAATCTGACTGATAACTGAAATATTAACAAAAGAAAGAGAAACAGAAGTTTATTAGCATGGGCATCTTGCATACGCAAGATGGGAAAACCCAGCGATGAGTAACTCACAGGGGTGATTAGAACTTGGGCTCTTACAGCATCTCAACAAAAGGACCGTACAGTTTTGAGAAGTGATCAGACACAGGAGAAGGACTTTGAGTTTCTAGGGTGGCAAACTGTGGAAGACAAATATATGGTGGAGCTAATGGAAGACAAAGGCTATGTAGTCAATTTTATTATGTCGATTCCTTTGATGACTTCTCTGACAAGGTGACTTTTGTCCTTCCTGGCAGAGAGGGGAGGGGAAGCCCCTTCATAAATTTATGTCATGCTTTTAGCTAAATAGCAGGAAGGCAGAGAGCTTTTTTTGTATCTTGCTTCTCAGTTGACTTCAACTCAAAATAATTATTATGCCAGAAGTATATTTTGGGGTGTATATTCTGCAAATATATATATATACATATATATATATTCATTTTATAACTGGAAATTTGTACCTTTTGACTCCTTTAACCAATTTAACACATTTCACCTCCCCCACCCTCCCCTAGGCAACCGCTAATCTATTCTCATGCACTGGATTTTTTGCTTTTGTGGTTTTTACTTTGCTACTGTTGTAGCAAAATAAAATGTTGTTTTAGATTCCACATATGTTGTTTAGATTCCACATATGAGTGAGATCATATGGTACTCATCTGTCTGTGTCTGACTTATTTCAGTTATCATAATGCCCTCAAGGTCCGTCCATGTTGCAAATGACAAGGTTTCGTTTGTCTTATGGCTGAGTAATAGTCCATGGTGTGTATATGCCACACCTTTATCCATTCATCCATCAGTGGATATTTAGGATGTTTCTGATATCTTTTTAAGAAAGAGTGGAGAATAAGGAAGCATTCCCATGTTGGTTCTAACATCTGCAACAAAGGACGTGCTTAGAGCTCAGTGAGAGGAACTAGATCGGAATAATCAACCCCTGCTAGGGGAGCTGGGCTCTTAAACAGGCCTGACTCATTTAAGCCCTTATCAAACATATTTGTTCACACTATTTACAATCACAGCAAACATTTAGTTAAGGCTTGTTATATATGTGGTCATGTTCTAAGCACTTCATGTGCATTAACTGATTTAATACTTAGAGCAACCATATAAGAGAATCACTATTATTATCTTAATAATAATATTATTATTATTACAAATGAAAAATTGAGGCAAAGAGAGTTTAAGTAACTTGCCTAGAGTAATGCAGCTAAAAGTACTTCCTGGCTAGAGA